CATTCCCTGCCATAAATCTCCCTTGTTTTCATGGCCAGCTTTCTTTTTCAACCTGGTATTCTGATTGGTATCTCCAACATGAACTCAGTTGCCACATTACTGTGATTTGAATAAATATATTCTTTCAAAATTCCTATATTAAAACCTAGTCTCTGGGACATGTGTGGGGAGGAAGGCTCTAGGGAGATGTTTACATGACTATAGGAGAGCCATTATGAATAGAGTTAGTGTCCTTATAAAGAGGCCTCAAGATCTCTGGTCACATCTACCAGAAATGAAAGTAAGATCATGTGTCAGTTGTAATGTCATCTCTGAAGCAGAGAGTAAGTCCTCACCAGACATCAATTTGCAGCTCCTGCCTTGAACTTGGAGTTCCAGCCTCCAGAACCATAAGAAATAAATCTATGTTGTTTATAAATAATGCAGCTTTTCTAGTTTGCTTTCTCTTGCAATGATAAAGAGAATGACCAAAAAATAACTTGGGGAGGAAAGGGTTCATTTCATCTTTAGTTGACTTCACAGTCCAACATCAAAGGAAGGTAAGGCAGGCACTCAAGGCGGCAATCTGGAACAGAAATGGAAACAGTCCCAACAGAAGAATGCTGCTTACTGACTTGCTTCCCCAGGCTTACTCAGCTACCTTTCTTACATGACCCAGGCCTATATACCTAAGGATAGCACCACCCCATTAGGCCTTCACACATCAACAAGCAGTTAAGAAAATGCCTCACAACCACTGCCACAGGCCAGTTTAATTTGGAAAATTGTTTAGTTGAGGTTCCCTCTTCCCAGGTGTGTCAAGTTGATAAGAGCTAACCAAGGGCACCACAACGCACAACAGCACAAATGGACTAAGACACATTTTCTGCAAATCCAATCCGTGAGAGTTTTCTTTGAAATCCCAAATAACTAATCCAGACCTCTCCCGTGTCGCTTCTACTCTGTTTGAAATCTGTAACTCCATCTTTGCACTCACTAGGCTGTGAGATCTTCAAAGGGAAGAGTCATGCTTCCTGTTCTTTACCTTTCCAGTCCCCTCTACTGTCTTTGGAATATTTTAGACATTTGAAAAATGTCTTTAGAGTGAAGCACAGAAAAAAAATGAAAGTATTTCTGCCTGGATTTCTTAATGCTTCAACTCTTCCCCAATTGACCTCTGGCTGGTTTTCCTCAAGGTATTCAAGAAGTTTAGGAATTTTTATCAAGAACTTTTTTACACTTTTTATTAACCATATTTCTAGAAATTTCCATATTTCTTGTTAAATGCTATCATCTTTCTACTTGTTGAGATGATACTACCTATTTCCAGGCCTTCAATTTCCAGATATTTCTAACATCACCTAAACCTATTTACAATATGTAGCAATTTTCTAGGGAAGCCTCTCAATCGCTTTCCCTTTCTTGAATTCTCTTAAACATCCCTTTATGTTGTAATTTCTTATTTCTCGTCCCTCTCCCCACCCCATTACTGTCACCAAGAGAAGGCTTATAAGATGTTTTTCTTGCCCTGAATTTATTGATCTATGATTTTAGTACAGTCTTCTGTTTTAAACTCTAGAGACTCTCTCCATGTCCCTTTCTATAGACAATTCACTCAGTCCTGAGCACAGCACTTTGTACCTCATAGACTTTTAAGATCAAGAACTTGTGTGATTGAATCCTCAAATTCTACTCGACTCTTGACCTATTTCCCCAGCTTCATAAAAATCTTCTAAAATAAAGTCTCCACTCCTCTCTCTGTCTCTTATTTTCCAGTGCTATAATTTGTAATTCTGAACCAGCCTACTTAAACTCCAGCCTGAATTGGGGCCATGCATCCTTTCACATAATTTTGACTGGTCTATAATAAATCATCATAATAAAGTTGTTAAATTCCATTTATTCCTAATACCATTAATCTTCATATCGGATAATTTGTGGTCTGCCACGATTAGCAGTGCACATAATTAGCACATTCTAGAGATCTGGATCACAGCCTTGGATAGAGCCCAGTTAGCTCTTCTTATCTCATTATCATTAATCCCAAAAGAAGAACAAGGCTGGCCGGCTTGCTGTCCTCTCTTTAGGACTCTTTTCTTGAGCTCCATTCATGGTTGGAAATATCTCTCCTAAGATGCTTTCTAGTTTTACCTAATGTTCCACTGTCAGGCGTTAAGTCAGTTTAAGTAAAATGATACTTGAGATAATTAAAAATACACAAAGCAGTCCACTAAAGGTTTTGAATATACTTATTACATATAATAACCTTGGTGACTTATTATGCCTGGATGGCAAACTCTGATAGCTAATAGCATGACATTCATTTCATCTCGCTGGTCAAAGAGAAAACAGACTTCATAGGCACGTCCTGAGAAGTTACACATGCTTAGAAATGCCTATACTTGGTAGAATACTCTGTTATTGAAGCATGGAAACTTCATAGCTTATAACAAGGGACCCCACAGTTTCATTTTGGACTTGTCCCACAGATGATGATGTTGTTGTTTGCCAAAGAAAACTGCAAGGTGAGCCCAGACCCCAGGATAGGGAAAATAGGAAGCAGACTCCACCCCCTGATGCATGGGATAACATTAATGTTCAGGGAAAGAAGGGAAAGACAGGAGCCACCTTTGGAGAGTATTTACCATAGCCCTGCTTCACTAATAAGGAAACTGAGATGAAAAAAGAGGTGGCACAGGGCCCTAAATCACATCACTGGCCATGACTATAGCATGTGCCTCTACACACAAAGGACTCTGCCTAGCTCAAAGTACACAGGGATAGAAAGGTGACATTGAGGTAAAGGTTAATTTGAGCAAAATAGACTTCCTTTTGATGTATTAGCATCCAGTGTAGTGCCTTGGACTGGAGTCTCCTTGCCAAATCTTTTTATTCTTCCATTAATGCCTAAAACCAAGCATCGGTCTTTTGTCCCATCTTGGCCAGTTCATGGCCTTTTACCATCCCACTAAGGAACAATAACATGAAAGAGAGGAAACGGTGAGCTCCAGAACCTGCAAGGGAAATTCTAAGACAAATGTGGATAGGAGAAACAGGGGACTCAAAGCACAAGACCCTCTAACAGGAGACGGAATGTGAGAACAATGCAGGAAGGAAGGAATTGTTGAACCAGTGCTGTGCCTCAAGTTCAGGGCCTTAGAAATGCAGCAGTTAAGAGGCTTATTGTGGGTAACCTAATGGTCTGATCATTGGAAGACAGGCACTGGGAGACTATAAACTGCCATTGTGACAGGTGACTATGTGATGCAAGTGGGTTTCTTAACTCTATATGGTACTGTTTTCAACATCAGCTATGGTATTAGAAGTTCCGGCTCTTAAAACAGCTGTATCTTGGGGCTGGAGAGATGGTTCAGCAGTGAAGAACAGTTACTGCTGTTCCAGAGAACCCAGATTCAGTTCCAGCATCCACATGGAGACTAACAATCAACTGTAACTCCAGTTCCAGGGAATCCAGCACCCTCTTCAGGCCTCTGTAGGCATTGCACACACCGTGCACTTGCACACATGCAGACAAGAGGAGACAGAAGGTGAGAACAACGTGGGAAGGAATGAATAACACACATACACAAACTAATATACATAAAAACAAATATACCAGAAAAAGAGAGGGAGAGATACAGAGAGGGTTCAAGCCTAGTCTCAACTACATAGCAAGTTCAAGGTCAGCCTGGGCTACATGAGACCCTGAGTTTAAAAAAAGGGGGGAGGGTGCTGGAGAGTTGTTTCAGTGGTTAAGAGCATTGGCTGCTATTGCAGAGGCCATGGGTTTGATTCCCAGCACCCATATGGTGGCTAACAACTGCCTGTAACTCCAGTACCAGGGGATCCAATGCCCTTTTCTGGCTTCTATAGACATTGCCCGTGCATGCACACGGTGCACATACATTCATGCAAGCAAAACAATCACACATATAAAATTAATTAATTAAAATTTTATCTTCTTTAACAATATTCCATTGCTTGACATTTATGCTTTCAATCAACTATCAAGAACAAAGTAGCATTTTCCAATCTGTCAATGTATCATTTAATATCTGATCAAAAAATTCAGCTGTTACTCTTCAAAATTACCTTGAAAGTGTTTTTATTCACGTGTATGGTGTACATGTATATGTATGCATGTTTGCCTGTGTGGGGGCAAGTATGTGTGGCTGTGTGCATGTGCGTGTGTGTGCGTGCGTGCGCGCGCGTGTGTGTGTGTGTGTGTGTGTGTGTGTGTGTGTGTGTGTGTGTAGGCCTGAAGTTGATGTCAGGAACCTTCCTCCATCATTCTTCCACCTTATTCATTGATATGGGGACTCTAAATCAAACAGAGCTGGCCCATATTACTTGCCTAGCTGGCCAGCTTGCTCTGGGGAATCCATTACCTCTGCCTTCTGAGACTGGAATCACAGGTGGGCCACTGCCGCATTCACCCAGCATTTACATGGGTTCTGGGAATACGAACTCTGGTCCTCACACTTTAAATCACTGAGCCATCTCCCTTGACCATAGTAGTATTCTTTACAAGATTCTATGTTAGATATAGTTAACAGGCATAGTGAACTCTCAATCCATTTTCTCTCTAAAATCCAATTTCTCTCTCTCTCTCACTGGCATTATTTTGTGCTTTCTGCATGTCAGGTATTATAAGTTTCAGAAATACACTCCTATTTATTCCACACATATCATTCACAGCTGTGGCATTTCAATACAGTGGGTAATTGTTGTTAAATAACTTGCTGAAGTCCTCAGAATTAGGAATTAGGACAATGATAATTATTAAATGATAATCGACTAACCCTGTATATTGTTTCAGTTTTTTTGTTTGTTGCTTTTATTGCTAGAAATCAAACTAACCCTGAAATCGTGTGCCTTAACACAATGATCATTCATTTATTCAAAACATGACAAGTTAACTATTTGAGCCTACCTCAGCTGGGCCACCCCCGCCCCAACTGTTGTTGCTTCTGATTGCAGCTATCTGGTGTTCCCCTGGATTAGGTGCTGTTTCAACTCACCTGCCTGCAGGCTGTGGCTGGCTTGTTCTGCGCTTCTTTCTGTACGCACTGTTTATCCTCAACAAGATCAGCGAGAACTTCTTCATACAGAATTTGGGTTCTCAAAGGTAAAGACCAGATGAACCAAGGTTTTGTGGGCTTATCCTTTTAAACCATAACTAACTTTATGTTTCATTGGTCCAAACAAATTACAAGTCCAGCCCAGAACCTACAAATGGGAGGTATATTCAAGCTCTGCAGGGGATGAACAGCATGACATTTGCAGTCATTTTGGGTTTCTCACAATTTGCAAACTTGTTAGCAAAAGAAAATTGATGCCAAGCAGTTCCCCCAGGGCAACTTGAGCTTCCTGGTCAGTTATGGGCCAATGCTTTTATGCACCGGCGTGCACAGTTGAAAAGCAGGGAATAGGTTGAATTTCTGATTCTGTTTGCTCACTTGGCTGAAAGCCATTCAGAATCCTGTAAACTGCACAGCACATTCAATAGTCCTAAGTCCATTGGCTTTGGCTTTTGTTGGTTGATTGATTGGTTGGTTTGGAAAATATTTCCAATATTTTATTTCAAAGTAAATAATTTGTGCTGATTACGCAGGAAAATATCTGGCAGATCCAGGCGTAATGGGTTATGTGCTTCCTTTTCTATGTTCCTGTCAGTGAGAAGGTTTTCATGGTGAGTGAGCAGTGGGTAGATCCTGTGTGCTCATGTGCTCATGTGCTCACGGCCAGCATTTATCCTGGTAGAATGGTACCTCAATTTAGCAATCTGTCCAGAAAACCTGCTGCCGCACCCACTCGTACTTTTATCACGGAGACAAAAAGCTCTATTGAATGTAATTTAGATGCTGCAAATGACTGTGCAGCAAGCATCTGCATAGCTGAAATGTCACCCTTTGCAGAACCGGGTACAGTTAAAACCACTGCCTTGTTCATAACAATTGAAGAATCGGTATCTATAAAATACCAGGGAAAACAGCCTCTACTAAATCTCATCACCACTTTCTGAAAGGAGACCCAACAAGGTCATTCACGTGTTCTTCCCCTCCCTGCTGCAAGCATCCAAGAATGCTAAGCCTAAGGTGCCTGAGGTCCAAACCCACACTCTCCTTCCCACTCCAGCTGTGAGCTGCTGCATGCTAAAATGGGTCACAGGTGTGCATGGGAGCAGATCTCATCTGGCTTTGGGCTACTGGGCCAGCTCTGGAGAATCCAGCACCTGTGACCAGCTGGTGTCAAGAAGCATCATTTCACTGTAACTAAAATATTTTTGTATGGCTTCAACAGAATGTGAAAACAGTTGGTGCCACTGATCTAGTATTTTCTTATTGCCATGGAAGTGCAGTTTCCAGGGTCTATCTTAAACATGATTGATATTTTAAGCAATAAAATCTGCTTTATGGCCAACCTGAGGTGAAAAATAATTCAACGATCCTGAGAGATATAAATTAAAGTTTACCTTTTCTCTCCACACTTGTAATCCAAACTCATTGCAGAAGCACATATGTGTATAACCATGTGTATAGGTGTATAGATATTTGTATAAGTATGTATATACATTTATTTATAGTGAGAAGTTTCTTACACTAAGCATGCTTACTTTGACTTTTTCCCTTATCATGTCATACATGTTCTCAGCCTGTTTGAGCTATAGACTGATGACCCATAAACAAAACAAAATTATTTCTTGCAATTCTGGAAGGTAGAGAGCCCCAGATCAAGGTACCAAAAGATCTGGTGCCTGACGCAGGCTGTTTCCTGGTTACAGATGACTGTCATGTAAATTCATGAGGTGCAAGGGTGATGGGAACTATGTGTGGTCTTTTCTAATAAATAGGGTGCTAATACTATCCATAAGGGCTTTGCCCCCATGACCTAATCGCCTCCCAAAAGCCCATCCCCTTGGCCTTTCTTACCTTTACAAGGAGGTTTTCAGCATTGAACCTTTCGGGGAAGGGAAACAAAATGCCCTACTCTAGATGTCTTTCCACAGTGTCTCATATTATATATATAAATATATATTCCCCATTCACTTTAACTACAGCACAGTGACCCCCTGTTTACATAACGTTTTTCAAATCTTGCTTCATTTTGTTTTCTTCATTTAAATAATATTTTATTAATCCTTTGAGAACATCATACAATGTATTATGATCATATTTCCCCCTCTCAGCTCCTCCCACACCCACCCCATCTTCCTACCCACCCAACTTCTTTTTCTCCCTCTCTATTGAGTCCAATATGTGCTGCCCAAACACTCTTGAATGTGGAACCTGCCCTGAATTGTGGTCCAGCAAGAGTCACACCGTTCAAAACCATGTTTCCTGTCCCAGCAGCTACCAAACGCCAATAGGTTCTCAGCCAGAGGTGGGGCTTCCTGACCCCTCCCAGATCCATGCTGAGGCTTTGTTTGGCTCGAACTTGAGTAGGTCTTGTGCATGTCATGGTCACGAATTACTGGGAGTTCAGATGTGTAAATACACATGATCCATTTTTTACAATTAGTTTTTTATAAATTGCCCCTTCATCATCTCCAGTGAATGACAATGCAGGGGCCCCACACAAGCTAAGGTAGCGCCCCTCAGAGCCCAGACAGTCTCATCCTTGTTCTGTCTTTGCTGGTGACAAGCTGTATAACTGTGAGGTCCCTCACCCCTGCTGCCATACTGCTCTCATGAAAAGTTGTGAAAGTAAAGCTGCCCAGCTCATTGAACTTGGGTAGATGAATTGTGACTGATCAGTGCTCACAGAAAACATCAGAACGTTCTAACTACTTAATAAATGCCTAGTATCATGTATCTCTTCCAACATATTGGCAGGATAAAATAATTCTACCCTTGAATTATGTAGAGTTTTGAAGCTACTTGAAGTTGCCCTAAAAAATGTTCATTGTGTCCATTTCTTCACATATATAACTATTTATATAAATACATATGTTTTGGTTAAACAAATGAATGAGTTTAAAGAATAAGTTCCTGTTAATGTATGCTTTTTTAAAATTTTAGGTATGTTTATATATTTACCCATGGCCCAACTGTTTTCTGTGAGCTATTTTACTATTGTTTGCTTCTTTTTCTCTTGGATTTTTTTCCTCATTGTCTTATTAATTTTAAAGTTATTTTAGATAAAAATATGACTATCTCAATGCATTTCTTTGAAATAACTGAGAAAATTTATTATTTATCTTTGTAATATTTGGTCATATTTTAAGTTTCTAAATGTGTGACAAACAAGACTCTCTTTGATACTGTCTCATGGGTATATACTGTGGCTTTTCAATTTCTGGCCACTTTGCATTGCAGGGTACTAGTAGAGGAAAGTGACAGCAGGTATGTGTATATGTGGCTATTCACTAGAATGCATGCAGAAGACATCTGAGATGACATAACATTTGACCGTGGAATGAAAATGTATGCCCCCATACAGTGAGAGGACAGGAAATGGGAAGACCTGGAAGACATTTTCTATCTGTGTAGTAGGAAGTGACCACACCCCACCAGTCTGAGAACAGTATACATGGTCAGAGACAAACTCTGAAAGAGGCCTCAGCTGTCACAGGCTTATACCTGGACTGTGGCAGTGGCTGCTGTCAGATGTTATCTTCCAACCCACTGGTATAGACAGTGTTGTCTAGGGTATGAATGAAATTTGCTTGGCACTTGGACCAAAGGATGGATAGATGATAGATGATAGATAGATAGATAGATAGATAGATAGATAATAGATAGATAGATAGATAGATAGATTAGATAGATAGATAGATAGATAGATAGATAGATATAGTAGATAGATGATGGATGGATAGATAGATAGATAGATATATGATAGATAGATAGATAGATAGATATAGTAGATAGATAGATAGTAGATGATAGATAGCTCTTTTTGAGACAGGGTCTCCCTGTGATAGATAGATAGATAGATAGATAGATAGATAGATAGATAGACAGATATAGTAGATAGATGATAGATAGATAGATAGATAGATAGATAAGATAGATGATAGATGACAGGTGATAGATGAAGATAGATAGATAGATGATAGATAGGTGATAGATGATAGATAGATGATAGAGAGATAGATAGATAGATAGATAGATAGATAGATAGATAGATGATAGATAGATAGATGATAGATATAGTAGATAGATGATAGAAACAGAGATAGAGACAGAGACATATAGATATATATTTTGACACTCACTGTCTCATGTAACCCAGGCTGGACACAAACTCAGTATGACCTGAGAATTATCACAAACCTCTGTGCTGGATATCTTAGTTGTCAATTTAACATACCTGGGTAGAGGGAGTCGCAATTGATGAATTGCTTCCATTGGACTGGCTTGAGGTCATGTCTATGGGGCATCTTCTTGATTACTGAGTGATGTGGGAGAGCCCAGCCCACCGTGGGTGGTGCCACCCCTGGGCAGGTGGGCCTATGTTGCATAAGAAAGCTGGCTGAGCAGGTGCCAGGGGAGCAAGCCAGTAAGCAGCATTCCTCCATGGCCTATGCTTCAGCTCCTGCCTCCAGGTTCCTGCCCTAAGTTCCTTCCTTGGGCTCTGTCAGCGATGTACTGTGACCCAGGAGATGTAAGCTAAATAAACCCTTTCCTCCCTAAGTTGGTATTAGTCAGAGTGTTTTGTCACAGCAATGGAGAAACAAACTAGAACCTCCTACCTCCATCATTCAAGTGCTAGGATTACAGACAGCTATATGCCAACATGTCCAATTTACAGTACTGGGAATCAAATCCAAGACTTTGTGCATGCTAGGCAGGCACTCTACCAACTGAGATACATTTCTAGCCCTGTCAAAAAAGGTGCAAACAAAAGTTCATTGGCTCTTCAAAATGAGAAAACATTTTTCCCAGTAAAGGCAATAAGCCATGTGTCACACCAAATAACCCAATGAGAAATGATTTGTAGTGAAAGAAAGAAAAGACCAGGTTGACAACGATGCATGCAAGAAAATTCTCCAAAACTTTTGTAACTGTTTTATGAACATCTACTATGAGGAGCAGTAATAATTGAATAACTATAAAAACATTAAAAGTATAATCTATCTGTGGAGAGGGAAGTGAATGGCTTTGGACATCGAGAAGTGCTCTGGAGTGTGTGAAGTTGTGCATCATTTGTATGTGTGTGAGAAGATGTGATTACATGTGAATAAGAGAGAGATATATCTGCACATGCTCTAAGAGATTTCAGAAGAGTTTACATAGTCTCACTGCTCTGATCTATAGGGGTTCTGAATCCCATCAGCCATAGACTACTTTTGTAGTGTAGAGTTCATCAAATTAGAATTCTGGAATGAGCTGTGTGGTGATTAGTTTGATCGTCA